GTTAAATTTTTTCTTTTAATGCAAAATTAGCATTAATTCATTGGCAAAGTTTGATATGGTATGGAATAATTTTCCCTCAAAATGTGTAAGGTCAAATGGAAATATAGCTAAGGTTTTCCTTTGTAATAGTTCTTATTTTGAAGAATCTAGTTTTGCTTCGTGTGCTTGCATCGTTTTACTTATATATTTCTGTGTCAGAGAAACAAGGTGCTTCCTCTCAAGAGGTAACATATATTTGTTTGAAATGCTATTGATTTATATGCCTAGTGAACTTATTTTTTAAATAATTACCTTTCTTTTTTACAGGTTTGTCTTTAGCTATTTCCTTCTGTAATATGTTGGCTATTTCATAAAAATAGAATTCTTCATTTGGAGTAGTATTTCTTAGTGTATAGTCTGCAGATCTCTGGCATCTCCAAAAATCCTTTCAGGTGATCTGAAACACTTTACAAAGTAATACTGAGCCACCATTTACCTCTTTAACTCTCATTTTTTCATGAGTGTACAGTTGAATGTTCCAGAAGCTAAATGACATGTGAGAACATCATAGCTCATATGACCAAGGGAAAGTGTGCTTCAAGATTCTTGTTTTTAAAAAAATGTCTAATTTAGTTTCTATTACATTGATTAGTAATAAATACTGTTCACATAACAAATTTTTAAGTTTATAAAGGGATTCTGTGAATAAATTTGAGAACCATTATTACAGAGCATAAGAAATGGAACCAAGATAAGCTCACTTGTTGAGAATGATAGATCTGTATTTTGTTGGTGTAAAATCTACTAATTGATATACCAAGTCCATATATTTAAACTACATGTAATTGTACACCATACCTATCATTGACAGAGAGGCTAGACTCTACATTTGTTCATATCCTTGGAATTCCTCTCAGCCAAAATTTAATTAGTGTCCATATTGATGCTATATATTCAATCTACTAATGTCAACATATTGGCTGTTTTAGTTGCATCTATTTCCACCCTTACAGAACCAAGGCTTCCCTAGACTCTCTGCATTTGACTTATCCCCTGAAACTTCTGAAGGTTCCCCTCCTGCTCTGACTTTCTTTTTGATCCATGGCTGGAGAACAGGCTTGGAACTCAGGAAAAACTATCAGCAAAGGTCAAAGAGAATTTCAGACTTTTTCAGGGCATTACACTTGGTCACAAAATAACACACCTATCTATGTACTCTCAAGTGTTGGAACAGACACTTAAGTGAGATGAGGCAGACTGTAGAATTGGGAGAAAGGAGAAATTCCCTCAGTTAATTAGATATAAATACTACTTGAAAATACAAAATCTAAGCCACTCTACTATGATCATTTTATTGTTTTCTTAAACTAATAGCTATTTAAGAACCCCTGTGTCTGTAACTCCAATAAGTATAAAATAGTTGTATAAAAGTTAGACCTTGATGTCAACATGTTTAAAACATTGAAATAGTAACAGACAAGACCTCCCATGCATTCATAACTCTGTTGTGGTAGACATGTTTGCTCTCTGTGGGAGAATGAATTCATGTGTGGTTCTTTTGGAATCTAAGTTTATATAGTAGTGAAGGATGGAGTCTACAGTTTGAAAATCAAGATAAAACCTTTTAATTCTTTGGTGTTTGGAATATGATTAAATTATCTACAATGGTTAAGCAAACAGAACACATACTGTGTGTTCCTCTTCACTGTCATTATCATTTTCAAAGACAAGAAACTAATTTTTCTATTCATCCCCACTGAAGAAGAACAGATCATTTGAGGAGCAGAGGGACACACCTAGAGGGACACTTCATCTCTGCTCTGCACAAGTGCCTGGCTCATGCATGACTTGACTGTGCCAAGACTTTAAAAACAATCTGTGGAACCAGAATGCTTGAGTCTGAATTTCCATTTCCCCACTAACTAATTTGGGGGTCTTGAATATCTTGAATATACCCTTTGATTATTCCACCTGTAAAGTGGGAATTGTTTTAGTACCCTCTTCCCAGATTTGCTAATGAGGTGAAATATGTTACTATTTGTAAAGTACTCTTAAAGGTGACTGACACATAGCAGGTGTGCTTTTTGTGAAATAAATATAAATCCTCATTGACGTGGCTCTGATCTAGACATGCTGGGGTCCATGCTCTAGCCCTGCCACTTTTCTATGACTTTGAATAGCACTTAAACCCTCTCTCCTCCATCTGTACAGGACATTTAAAATAAAAAGCACCTATTTACTAAGGGGTTGTCAGGATTGAATGTGCCAAAACATATGAGATAACCTAATAGGGCATAGCAAGTGGTAGGAAATTTTAATTTTAGTAGTAGTTAAAATTGATCTCTCAGTTTACTCTGTTTTGCCCATTAACCAAATGCATATCACTTCTAAACTTTCCCAGACATCTTGCCTTCTCTGTCTTGCTTCCTACTAGATCTTTGCAATTTCAAGACTGGCTGACACAGTCGGACTCCTAGAAACACTAAATGTTACACGTCCCCAGCTAAAGAGCTCCTCCTAGGATTTCCTTGGGACTGTCACCACTCTCTTCCTCCAAACTCAAAGAATGCATTGTGCTATCCTGTATTCTGTTAATCTCTTACACCAGAAATTATTCAATTATATTTAACTCGGCCTACAAAGCCTTATTTATACTTACCTCCTTCAAATGATTACTGGTTGCAGAAAACATTGTTTCTATGTTGACTGTTAAAATGTGTCCCCAATTTCTTTCTCTGAATCCATTCTCTCATATTCTAGTGTTGTTTTCACAAAGTAAATCCAGAATATTATTTCCCTCTGAAACAACCTTCATTGGCTATGACATTAAGTAAAGACTACTCAGCCTGACTTAGAAGACCTTCCACATGATAGTCTTATCCAACCTTTCTAGATACAGTTCTCAGGCTTCCCTCAAAATCCTGCAATCTTTGAATATCTTCTGTCCTTTGTTGTATCTCATCTTTCTTCATGTAGTTGCCTTCACTTTAAACTTACCATCTCCCTATATGTTACAGATAATACCCTCTCTTTATTGCAGAACCCATTTCAAATCTGACTTCCTTCAAACACTATTTTTCCAACTGCTCCTCCTAAAAAAAAACAAGTCTCTCTTTGAAATTCCATTGTCACATGTTGACACTTATTTTATGGTAATGACTGTACCTTTTAAAAGTCAAGTTTTTGTTTTATTCAAACCACCGCTCACCCAATCAATGCATGAGTTATATAGGTAAATGGATTATAAGTGTGTTATTTCTTTTTGTATTCTGAGCAGTGGCAATGACATTAGTTGAGTAAATTTCTGTTGCTGTTAAATTGCTTACAGAGATTGCATCTCTATAGCAACTGCCCAAGGCTTGCAGTTTACCTTCTTGAGCTTCTGTTCTCCTGCTTAGTCTCCACCATTGGAACACTTTTATCACTTAGACTTAGTTTACCCAGGGTCAGAAAACAGAATTTGGGAAAGAGAAGAAGCTAAGTCTTTCACGCTTCCCTTATTTATTTCTACAGGGATAACAAATGGATCCAGAAAAAAACTGTCTTAGTTGAAACTGTGGTATAATCTACAAAAATTAAATGTGCATGTCTTGTGTGCAAGGACCTCACATCATTCTATTTTTGTAAAGACCTCCATAGAAATTAGCAGATTCTTACTGCACAATTAAATATAGTTATTATTTTATTCTTTTAAGAACTCTGATAATTTTTAAATATTGTTATTCCAAAATATCATATAACCATTTATACTTTATTTATAGCTGTTGATTGGTCAGTTTAAGACCATGGTCATTTCATCCAGAATTTAATTGAGTTAAGCCTGTATTTAAATGTTTTTGAATTAATCAGGTTGAAATTTCAATAATTCACTGCTCCCAATGAAGTGATTGCCTTAGTCCATGCCAAGTAGCACCACGGGGGATAGGGGAAGGGGTTGCTTAAACTTGAGGAAATCCTGAATGCCTTCTAAGACCTGGAATGAAGCCATTTTGCAACCAACACAGCTGAGATCAGGATGTAGAGAGTTGGCTGCGGTCAGAGCTGGAGTGGATCGTCTCTGGTTTAAACTCTGTTCCAGCCTGACAAGAAGTAAACAGCTGTTTGGGGATCTCTGCCTTTGACTGAGTTCTGATACGATTTTTTTTCCCCAGCATTGCTAATTAAAGAATAAATTTTCAAATAAATACTTTTAAAAAAATCTGGAAATAATTTCTAGTAATTTCATTTCTTTTCCCCAGTTTGTTTTTTTTACATAATAACATTTCTTCCTAAAGGTCTCATTTCTTTCCTATTAAAGAAAATTTGCATACTGACCTATTTTACTCCATTTCTGTTTATTATTGAGCAGCTGGTATGCAAAATCTGAATGAATAATACAAAACTGACCCTCTTACAGATCATTACAACTGCTAAAAAGTTGATAGGAAAATTTCAAGCTCATTTAATTATAGTATATCAGAATTATCTGTGACTTAAAATTTCCTACAAATTATTCCACATGCGCCTGTAAATTGAATACACAAAAGATGGAGCAATTTGTACCTTAAGAGTCATTGTTTATGTATTTGAGCTTTGCTTCCAATCTGAAGATCTTAATTGCCTTTGTAATTTTCAAAAGGCTAAAAATCTAATCAGTCTGTTAATAAAATATGAGAGTGGATATTTTTTCTTTGGATATATTTTGCAAATGTGAATCTGCTTTTGTCAAATTTCCCAAATTCCAAAAGTCATGGTGGTTTTGTGAAGGAATTTTAGGTGTCAGAGAGGAGAGGCATGTTTGGGAGAGTGACTACAGGCCCTTCTCTCCTTTGCCAGCTTTGGCCAGCCTGGCTACATCCATTCTCTCTCATCAAAGAAGCTGCCTTACTTGTCAGAAAATTCTTGTTTGTAGAGACATCAGATGCTAAGTTCATCAATTAAGAGATCCCATGACTCTTCAAAACCTCTAAATACAATATTTCTTCTTTGGAAAATCTGGCAAATGGACCATGAATTGATGTCTTCTCTTTACTCTCTAGCAGAGGATTTTGAAGATGTACCAGCTTCAAAGAAAGTTAAAGGTGAGCTTGTTATCGTCAGTTCATTTATTAGTTTTCTTTCATGGTGATAGTGTTCTATTTTTGATCTAGTCCTCAGCTTTTCCTAATTCATGTTAAAATAGTAGACAAATTTTCTAAACAAATTGTTTTTTTACATTATTTGGAAAATAATATATTTATCTTCACAGATTGAATACACTAGATGGACACCGATTTATTTACATGTAATTATTTAGGTGCATTGATTGCCCAATTTGCTTATAAGAGTCGTATTTCAAAATTACTGTTTCACCAAGGATTATGGGGATGTTATTTGACAGCCAGAGGATGATGTAAATGTTGAAATATGAAGCTGACATATTTTTTATTATTAAAAATTGAGATAACTCACCTATACTAGCAGCAGTAGCATGGAAGGAAGGAAGGAAGGAAGGAAGGAAGGAAGGAAGGAAGGAAGGAAAGAAGGAAGGAAGGGAGGGAGAGAGGGAGGGAAGGAAGCCTCAAACCTCAGAGAAATCTGCTACAACCAGATACATGATATTGAACAAGTCCTTCTAGGACTAAATTTCTTCATCTGTATTGTAAGGACATGTAACCTGTATTGTAAGGGGGGTAATTTGGTGTGTGTGTGTGTGTGTGTGCGCGCGCGCACGTGTGTGTGTGTGTGTGTGCACGCGCGCGCACGTGTGTGTGTGTGTGTGTGTGATGTTTTCCTGATGGATTTCCTGGCTTCCTAGTTTGGCTTGTTATAAAATAAATATTTTCTATTCTACTTCCAAACTTGCCTATGGACAACAAGAGTTTGCCTACAAGTTTCTCTTGCTATCAAAATATAAGTTCTATGGCAATTTGCAGAATTGATTAACAATATGGAAAATGGTGCTTAGAGAAAAGACACAAAGGAATGGATAACTGATTCTTATGAAATGATTTATATTTGTTTAACAGATGCTTTTGAATACTGAGTTTTTAGAACTTTTTAAAATTTGAATTATTAAAAAGAAGTATTAATGTGTTTTTGACTTCTACACCATTGCTTCTCAAACTGTTTTAAATATGAATCACCTGGAAATCTTGTTAGAATGAAATAAATCTGAGTTGGGGCATAAGAACTGCAGTTATATCAGTCTCCCTAGTGATGCTAAAACTACTGGTAGGTAGACCAGACTTTGAGAAGAAATGTTCTTGAAATCATTTAACATTTGATGAAATCCAAAACCAGCTTTCAATGGAAGGCACACATACACACATCATGCATGAACACACATACACTCACATCTTCTTAACATTTTATGGTTTTATTGAATCCCCCGGAAAACCCATCTATGGACACCAGTTAAGAATTTCTGACTGTAGAAAGGAGTTCAAATGGATAGCTTCAAATTACCCTTCATTAAATAAGCACCTGGTTCATTTCACTACAACACAAAATGTCCTGGAGTCAGATGAGAAAAACAAAGGATACAGGATACCATTCTGCCGCTATTCTTCCATGACAAGGATGACCACTAAATACTTATGTCCTTCACAGATTTAGAATTATTTCGACTGGAAGTGTTCATAGAGCCAGATCTCATTTTTACCATATTATAACTCTGAGCATTAAAGAGCTCTTCTAAGAAAGAAATGTGTGTCAGCTAGCTCTCATCCTTCAACACCCAACACATCAGGATGCATTTCCTATTTGAGCAATCACTGTAGCACGCCACATGCCGCATTCTTTTCTTTTGTTGGTTCTACTCCTAGCACTGGCTCTTACCTGTTCGATTTCACAGTGAAAGACTGAAGAGCATCTAAAAAAGAACCTACTATGCATTATAGGGAGAGCAAGTAGCTCCTGTTTCTTTCATATTGTGTACCTGCTTAGACATTTTCAGTCTCCTACATATTTGTATAATAGCTGTGAATGTACAAGTTATTTACTTTCATGTTTGTGTCCACTAGAAGAAGCTGAAGATGTGTCTTCCACAAAGAAGCAAAAAAGTAAGTTTATAATTAGATTAAAACTATTAAGTCATTCTACATTAAAAAATAACACACGTAAATTGGAGCTTTAGAATCTTAAGACCAGGATTAGAAGAAACAATTTTCAGTGCACACATGAAGAATAACATTAAAGTAGGTCATTTATATTTCAAAGAGAAGTTCTCAACTTTTTGTGTCAGGAAAGAAGCATGTATTTGGAGGAATTACAAAGTAATGACTGAAGTGGCATTTATCACAAACCATTCAGCACAGCTCTGATCCTCAGCACTATGACTGAATCTGTGCTTAGATGTGTGGTACTGTCGGCTTTATAATAAGACAGCTAAAGTGATATGCTGAACTTCTTTATATAGAAAAGAGAAAAATGTATAATAGGTCTCAGCAATTCAATTGCTTAAAAACACTTCTAAGACTGAGAATTCTTTTTGAGTTTTCTAGATATGTGACAGGTTCTTAATGTTCGATCTTTGGGACTTCTGATTTTATAATAAAATCAATATTCATATGCAGCTACAAAATTCAATGTCCAAGATTCTCATTTTCCCAGTAATACCAAATTAGGCATTTTTCTTCAGATGGTAAAGCAGTACATTTTGGATTTGCATATACATTAAAGTCATTGTTAGACAGACTAAAGGAAGCAATATTTGAAACAGGTATAAGAGAAGTTTGTTTTATATAATGCTTTTAATATGAAGAGTAGACATTTATCTGAGGAAATGATGTAATGTTCTCTAGATTCTACAATACTTCTTAAATGTATTTCTGAAGGAAATTACTAAAAAAAATGCTGTCTGTAATAGCAAATGCCTCCCACTCTATATTAATACTTGATTCATTGAACAAAGATAAGTGCCTGTTATGTTCCAAGCCCTGCTTCAAATGCTGGGACAGATGCAGCAGATAAGAGAGATACTCATTATAAACCTTCATATAATCAGGTTGTAAGAAATATAGGGAAAAAGCAGTCTTAACAATGCTGTAAGATATTGTTGCAAAATCCATAAAGTCAATCTGGGCATGTTTCCAGTTTATATAGCAATTTCCCAATTTATCTGTTACATAAACACAAATGGTTCACATGTATTAACTTATTTAACTCCAGAACATTTCTGTGAGGTTCTTGCTGTGGTCTTGACTTTACAGACAAGGAATCCAAGAGCCAAGAATGCTTAGTAACTTTCCGGTCATTGCCAAGGCTACCTGCTGAAGGCCGCATGTTCACATGCATTGTACTATATTGCCTTTGCTGAGCTTTACCTCTGTTTCTGCTCATATTCCTCTGTTCTAACAAAATATCATGTTCTACTTATTAGGCCCCATCAGTTTCTTCCAAAGTGTCTACTTGAATGAATACAATGGCTATGGATTTCAGTTTCCTGTCACTCCTGCACAACGCCCTGCAGAAAACTCTGACCAACCCAGTTCTCCAGGACAGGAGCAACAAGAACAATAGACACATCTGTACAACCCTTACAAATGCTTTAAAAACCTTGAAAACAGAATCTTCTTTTTGTTCACAATGGCATAGGCAACTGAAATCACGTAATCTGGGGAATTTCTTTGAAAATATTGTACTCTTCTGCCTGGTGTAGAGAGAAAACATGAGCAAAGCAATAAGCAGACATGTTGAAGGATCTGGAGCTCAAGAATCTGTTATTTGTATTTGTTACCAGGCATGGGTACTTCTATGTTTTTATTTCTACTCACTATAGGATTGTTCATAATTTAACGCGTACTAAATACGGTATTTTAAATGTAAGTGACACAATTACAAAATGAAATTCCTGACTTCAGTTAGATATTTATTTTTAAAGGAAAACACAGACTATGTTTCGAGTTTAAAGGGTATAGGCACTTACATAAATGCTACTCTTTTACTTCATATGGGTATCTAAACTCAATTTACTCAGTAAATTGATGTTTAATTGTTTTATTTATGTCTATTTCCAATTTAGTTGCGGCTATGCTCTAAGAATGGGTAACAGCTGCACCCAAGAGTGTTGTAAGTTCTTCATGATGTTCTTCTAGCTCAAAATATCTCTGAACTTTAGACATGGAGTAGAAATCTTTTGATAAATCTTATCTCTGAGATTTGTCTTGAATTACAACTAGGTCATTCACTCCATTGGAAATACACCATCCAATTGACAGGTCTTTTAAATCATTTGTTTAAAATATAAGCAAATGAGATGTAGTATTTTCATATTTCTCCAGACTGTGTCCTAATGAAAATGTCACCTTGATGAAATTTTAGATCAATCACTACATTTGTGTGACATCTGCAAAAGAATTTTCATTTCACTTGAATAGGATCATTCTATGGAGTAAATGGGTTTTCTTTCTAAAAATGGAAAAATATGAATGTCATCAAAGTTGAAGGAACATGTTTTAACCATAAGTATTTCATGAGATGTCTTACTTGTTTTATAGGTCATTGGTTATCAGTGCTGATGAAATGCATTGACAATCTTTCATGTACCTGAAAATGCATCATTGGGAATGACTATTATGGTTTTGTCACCTTTTTGTCTCCCAGTGATATAAACACTTATATTCTTTACTACATTTTTCTATTAACTCTACAAGTCATGCTACTGTGACTTTATCATGTTTACAGTTGCAAAACTCAATGTATGACAACTTGACTCAGAAAATAAATTGAGTTATTCTTTCTGGTATTATAATCACCTTCTGGTGAGGTAGACAGAATCAATACTGGCCAAGTGATTTATTTTCAAGGACTGCAACTAACTAAATTCTTTAAGTCCAAGATTTAGAACACTGTTTTATTCAAATATCATCTGGCTAGGACATCAGTAACATATTCATTATTAATAATGGATTTTTAGTGACTTTGGTGAGAGAAGTTGGTCTCAGCCACATGCTGGCCGGTGGACCTAACTTACACCACAGAAGGCAATGCTATAATGAACCAAGATTAATGACACTTCTTATGGGGGGACAAGAAGGCTGGAAGTGTGTGCCTTCAGTATTGACCACATGGTGCCATCTTGTAAAGCCCCTTCATGTAGCAATGAAAATTAGTGGGTAGGACAGTAGATAAAGTTTATTGCTCAACTTCTCCTCCAGCTTGTCTAATTGAGGAGGAAAATAATACAGAATAAATATGATAGGTTTTTAGATTTCAGAGAGCAGAGTGGCTTGTCCATTAATTCTTCCATTCAGTGGCTATAAATTGAGCACTTACTCTTTCCAGGGCACTGTGTTAGGCACTGAACTGTTTAAGAAAAATGTCAGAGAGAAATCTACTCCCAGTGCTATCCTGACACAATAAGCCTTGAAAAATTTACTAAACATGCTATACTTATTTCCCCATGTATAAAATAGCAATTTCAGGGCAAACAACCTAACACTTCACAGATGTACTGTGGAGACTGACAAAATATCCTAATGAGGTTATGACACCAAAATAAATTTCTGAAATAATACTTTTGAATGTGATGCTAATTTTCCCTCTGGGTGCTTTTGTACATTGTATCATTGTTTCACTCTCTTTATGGAAACTATGTGATAAAAGGTAAATTATTATATATTATAATTAGGATTTTAACAAATCAATTATGATGTAAACAACATTAATAATAATTGTTAAGGTTTATTTGTTTGAAGTTACAATGATGATAGCACTTGAAAAATATTAAGTGAACTTTCATCTGTTTGTACAATTCCATCAAATAAATTATTCCTAGTTCTTTCAAGTTTGTGCTTTATACTTTAAAAGGAAAAAAGATAAATGGTTGGTTAAAAGCCTTTGTCTTAACTAGTTCACTCATAATTCATGTCATGTTGATGATGAACATGTAAATATTTAATAATTATCTTGGTCCAGTTGGTATGAGCTACCCATCCTAACCCTTCACTCCCCTCCACACTACACTCCCTTTCATAGATGAAGATCTATAGAAAATAAATCAATAGAAACTACCTAAGGCTTTTTATTTATGGTTAATTTTCATAAAACCTGATAAATCATCATTCAGATGGGAGCAAAGCTTTCGAGGAATAATTCCCATGGGACGTCCCTGTATATTGATTCATTCAGATATAGCCTTGTCATAACTCAGAAATATTTTGAAAATGAAGGTTTGTTTAAGGACCCAGATTATTTTCTTGAGTTATTTTACTAGAAAAAGACAAAGGGAATAATGAACATCATTACTGAAATAAAACTCAGGAACCATCTAGTCCAACTGGCATACACAGAAAATGAAACTAATCCCTAGAGAAATGATAAATTTGCCCAAAGTTACTGCTTGTATCAAAGCAGAACCTTGGTTTGCCAGCTCCCAAATGCCCTTAACTCTGTCCCCAGGGCGTTACTACAAACCTTGGCTAATTTATCCAGCATTTCAAAATCCATTTTTTAAATTATAATCAATGTTAGAAATGTAACCTTCTGTAGAAAGTCGTGCTTTTTTCTACACGAGAGCTGTAAAGGTCTTAAATTAAGAGTGAGTTGCATTCACTTGCTTTAGAGATAAAGAAAATGAACTTCAAAGAGGTTAGGTGAAATGTCCAGGGTCATTACCAGTTGTTAGCCAAACGAGACTGAGAACTCATATCTTCTGTTTTCTAATACACTGCATACACCCCACCCTGAGTGACTCTATACAGTATCTCCCTGAATGTAATTATGCTTCTCTCTATAATAGGCAAATTCATTAAGACATGCAAAGTAAGCACAACTTTCCAGGACGGGCCTCCTAATGACCTTATTTGCTCTAATCCTTTCAGGCCCATACTACTTCTACCCTGTCTTTTCCCCCTCCTTAATCATGTATGTTAATAAAACATTTAGATATCCCTGTAGATGCTTTTCTTTGTATATAAAAATAACTGTATTCTCCAATACCGTTTAACTAAAAAATGTCATAAGTCAGAGAGACCCCAAATATTTGCCATGTTCAGCCCCAGCCACTTGCCCTCCACAGGCTCATCAATTCCTATGTCTATGGCCCATGTTGAACTTTTGACAAGAACTAATTTCTTACATCAAGTAATTAGTGCT